CAAAAAATAAGTTGTTTTGTTGAAAATTAATCGAATAAAAAGAAACAAAATAATTAGAAAATAATTATATATTGTCTTCCACTATTAGATTCTCTATACGAAATGATTGGTGTACAATTTATATTTGGCTTGTAGTCATTTAGATGGTAAGTTTTGAAAAGTCAAGACTCTCATTTTGTTTAACTGTGGTTAGAACAGAATTGGTAAATAAAAATATAGATATTTTTTAAAATTATCGATAGAATGAGAACAAAATATTTGAAATGATTCAAGTAAAATCTTTTGTTTAATTAAAAAATAGGTTTTGAGGTGCATCATTATTTTTAACTGATGTTAGTTCTCAATTTCTAATGACTATTCTTGTTTCTTTAAGAAATAGCTTATCTTAGATTATTCAATGTTAATTATAAACTTATGTAAGTATTAGAGCCGTGATAAAAAATAATGACCGGAGTCATAATGGCCGAAGCAGTAATAAAAAATAATGATCGAAGTCACAGTGGCCAGAGCCAAAGTAAAGCATGTGACACTGGGTCACTGTGGCGGTAGCCGAAGTGAAACGTGTGACACTGGGTCACTGCGGCCGGAACCAAAGTAAAACGTGTGACATTGGGTCACTGTGGTCGGAGCCGAAGTGATAAGCATGACCGAAGACATCAGGTCGATTGCCGAAGTAAAACACTTGTGCAAAATTTGAAATGGAAAAAAGTGAGCAAGAGTGTTGAAATGGACGTAAGTGGGTCCGTTTGAGAAGTCTGACAAGGAGGCGGTACGCGACGCGACAGCTGTCCTCTGAATGACGTGCGTAATAAATGCCGCTGTAAAAAGATAACTGTAACAGTCTAATGGGCAGATTTAAAAAATGAACCATCGAGTCTGAAACGGTGCCATTTGGGGTTAACCGTCGAATTCGAAACGGTGTCTCTGCAGCCATTAGATGGAGTTAATCACGGCCGTTGAGGCGTATTTTGCCTTTGGTATAGGTAAAGTTCATGAATCTTTGATTTTGATTTGGTCGAAGTGCTATTCTCCTTTCTCCCTTTCTGTTTTTGGTTTTGGGTTTTTTGAAGGAATTTAGGGTTGGGAGTGAGAATGTATTGAGTGTGTTAGAATTTTTAAGGGTCCTGACTCCGTTCTCCTCCTATTTTATACAGAAATTGAGGAGATGTCTTCAGAAAGGACCATGAGTGTAGTGGGGAGTGAAGTGATGCCCATGGATTACGGTAGCATGGATACGGAGAGCAGTCCGTCTCCATCTAGTTCGGAGAGGACGGTGGAGGAGAGGAGGGAGCAAAGGGTAGTAGAAGAGGAAGAAGATGAAATTCCCTTTAATGTTATAGAGGTTGAGGGTAACGAAGATGGGTGCTAGGACCCAAATTTAGACGTAGTATCCAAGGTGAGGGGGTATGTGAGTGAACTGGGTAGTAGGAGTAGTCTTAGGGGTTTGGTAGGGAATTGTAACCTTCCTCACCATGTCCTAATTAGGCCTGCTAGGGTGAATGAGAGAGCATGCTCAGCACCCCGAGATCACTGGATGCCTATGTACGTCCATTATTTGGTGGCAGGGCTTAGGTTTCCCATTCCAGAATTACTGGTTAGGTTATTATTAGATTACAGTATAGGAATAACCCAATTAACCCTAAATGCCATAAGGGTATTAATAGGCTTTCTTGTATACTGCCGAGCTCGGGGGGCTGGGGTCCCTACAGTAAACATGTTTAAACATTTTTTCATAATAAAAGCTGGGGGTAAGGGGGAGAAGGGGTGGTACTACTTCAGCCCTTGGTCGTCCAGCAAAGAGAATAGGAGTTTATTCATTTCTGGACCGTCATCCATCAAAGGATGGAAAGAAAAATTCTTCTTTGTGGATGACACCGAGTGGAGTAGGGGGGATGCCGAAGTAGAACAATTGTCTGCTTGGAAAGCTAAGAAAGCAAAGCAGGACAATTATAAGCTGAATGAGGATGAAGTGGAAGAGGTGGGGAAGCTGGTGAAGGAAGAAGGGGAGTTAGTGGATATTATGTACCTCATCAGCACAGAGGCAGTAAAGGCTGTTGAGCTTTATGGAGCAAGCTCATTGAGCTTTATGGACCAAGCTCATTGAGCGAAGGTTTGTGTATGTTTATTTTGTGCAACTTAGGTGAGATTTCAGTTGGTGTGTTTTGACATTTATGTTTGTTGTGCAGCTAAAATGGATGGCTTTTTGGACGCTGCTGGGGGGCTGCGTACCCCAAAAAAGCCAAGGAAGAAGTTAAAGACTTCAACTGCGGCAGAAAAGGGGGTGGCAGAGAAGGAGCGACTGTCCAACACTTCTGCTCGGGCTGTGGAGATGCAACCAAGGCCAGAGCTTGTGATGGGGGGCAGTGAGGAGGTGAGCGAAGAGGTGGCACCGCTCCAGAGGAAGAATAGGAAGGTGGCAGAACCAGAAGTTAGGAGGGATGAGCTGGTTGAGTTCATGCCTCGGCCTTCTCCTTCGAAAGTTGATGCTGAACTCAGGGAAAGGGAGGAGGCCATGGTGCGAGGTCCTGGCAAAGGCAAGGAGCTCATCCCTCCTCCTTCGTTCTAGAAGAGTTTGTTTGAGGCAACGAACACTACTGGAGCGAAGCGATTCCTTAATGCCACGCTTCCTAAAGTGGATAGGAGGCAGGCAAGGGAGGAGGCGGTGAGCCACCTGGGGGCCCGTGTTGTTAGGCACGCCTTGGAGGTATGTAAAGAAGTTGCAGTTTATTCATGTTTTACTTTTGATTTTATGACTTTTGCATTTGAACTCTGACCTCGGTTTGCATTGCAAAGTGCGAGCTGGGTCAACACTCTAGTGCATGAGTATGTGGAGAGCGTGAAGGATTGTGCCAGCTGGCAGAGGCAATGTGAGGCCCTGTGAAAAGAGAAGGAGGAGCTGCAGAAGGAAAAAGAGGAGCTGTAAAAGAAAAACAAGAAGATGCAGAGGAAGCTAGACGAGGTGGTGCCAACAGTGACAGAGCTCCAGAGCGATAGAGATACCTTGAGCACAAGGCTTGTCTTCGAAGAGCGTAAAAGGAAGATTTGTGAAGACAAGCTTGATGCTCAAGACAAATATATCCAGAAGATGAACCAAGGGATGGTGGAGCTGAAAAAGAACGTGGAGCTGTTGGTTCACAATGGGATGGAGGAGCACATTGGCAACTTTCTCAACTCCAGCACCTTCGAGAACATCATCAACCTCTACCAGCTGCCGACCACAATTGTGGCCTTCACCGACTGTAGAAAAAAGGTGAAGGTTCAGTACCCAGAGGTGGACGTGACAACGGTCACTTTTGGGGAGCAAGAAGAAGGAGTGGAGGAGGATGGTGAAAGCCTTTCTACTAACTTCTAACCTCTGATCAAGCTGAGGTGGGAGCATGACGCAGAGGGACGCACTATCTTCCCTCCAGCCTTTGATGCTGAGCTGGTGGCAATGGAGGAAGAAGAAGGAGAAGAAGAAGAAGCGCTAGGTGCTGAAGCGGAGAATCAGGTAAACCAGGTCGAAGCTCAACCTCCCGTAGTTCATCCAGTCTCCTCTGATGAAGTGCAGCAGCTGGCTCCTCTTGAGGCAGAAGTGCCGCCTCTGCCTGCTGGAGATGAGCCCACATCACCGCCTCTGCCTGTTGGAGATGAGCCCACATCACCGCCTCTGCCTGTTGGAGATGAGCCCACATCACCGCCTCTGC